TTTTACTCTTAAGCGAATGTACTTTGCTCCTCTTTCTACCACACTTCACCAATGGGTCTTAATAACTTAAATATGAATTAATATCATTATTTTATCTCAATTAAGTTTACCGTAATCATGAATTAATGGTTAAGACGTTTAGATATGACAAGAGCTAAAAGGAAGCTCATGTAGATGTCATGGCATCAACATTAATCCATAAGTTATTAATAGATTGTAATGGTATCTTAAGCACTTAATAATTGTTAATAAACTTCTAATAAAACTTTTAACATGGATAAAATAATGATTTACATCCATAATTTTGTATATTGGTTAACTACAAACTCTAAAAACTCAATAAAAGCAACAAATGGAGACATAGTATCTACATTGACATTTTCACCATATTTGACTTATGGACTTCAACCAAAGGACACAAAAACTTTATATATATAGCTTTTGTGACATAATATTAATGTTTATGAAGTTCTGTGACTTAATAGTTAGTTGTCATAAAGTTTTAAACACTTAATGACACATAAAGGGATAAAAAATTATCGAAAGTTCAATTGACACCAATGGAAGCATGATTTACAAGATGAAATAAGATAATTGATGGATTATCATAAGTTAAGATATAAAAAAATTTCATAACATCAAATGAAACATAAAAATAGGATTCTATGGAAACTAGGCTAGGAAATCTCAAAACAACTGAATGGAAGCTTTACATTCTACAAAACTCAAGGAACGCCATAATACTTAATATGAACCTTCAATAAGGATATATAACTTGATTTAGATAAATAAAAAACCATAATGTCAAATCAAACCATAGGAATTGAAATCCAAAGAAGTATGGTTTGAAATCCTAAAAACTCCTTCAATTCTTCAATCTAACATCTATTAGGAAGTTGTTGCTTGAAGATTGATTCCAATAAGAGATTAAAAATTATAAAGTCCACTATAATATAGAATAAAGCTTGAATTTTTTTTATTATATATCATAGATAAAAACACTTGCTAATGGAATGAAGATATTTTAAAGAGAAATCTACCACAAATCACTAAGAGATGAAGGACAATGGTTGATTCTTAACTAATACACCAAATGAGCTTCAATTGCCACCATGGAAGGGTGAAATCTTCATAATCGAACTTTTAAAATCCCCTCTAAATGGTTTGAATGAAATGGAGAGGAAAGAAGACACTACTTGTTATGGTCTTAGTCTATTTGCACAATAATCCCTTAAGTTGCTTATTTTGCACAATAATCAACACGTGACTATACTTACTAATCAACATCTTCAATATTTTTATAAATACCCTTTGCCACCATTTACTTAATATTTAACTCCTTAAGATTTAATGAAATGAACACTAGGTCAAGTCTTACATTTTACATGTGGCAATTATCGTCCCTTAAACTCTATATTATTAATTTAACTCTAATAACTTTATACCTAATATCAATCCATATATTTATTAATATTATACACTTATTTGAATCTTAATAAACACAATTAAAATAAATTTAATATTATTTTACTTAAAAATAAATATTTTCATTGAACGTCAAAAACTTTTAGGTAGGGATGAGCAAAGGAACCGACTCGGCTGGAACTGGCCTGGGAACCGAACTCGGTGGAAAATAGGAACCGAACCGGACCGCCAGTTCCACCGGTTCTTGTCGTGTCTTTAAATGTTGGAACCGATCTTAGAAAAATAGCAACACACGGTTCTAGCAACACACGGTTCTAGTGTTTGTTGGTTCTACCGGTTCCAGTTCTAACGGTTCCAGTTCCTACCGGTTCCCGATTCCAAAAATCCACAAGAATATCATCCCAGTCTCGACCCGACCAGTTCCATCGGGTTCCGGTTCCGGTTCTGGTATCGGCTCCGGTTCCGATACCGGTTCCGACCGGTTCCCCGGTCCATATGTTCATCCTTACTTTTAGGCCTATTTTGAGGACGTTGCGCATGCACATCATGACACTCTAGCTAATTCGAGATGAATATGTAAAGTTGTGATGCTTTTTGAGCTTTCTCGTGATTTGCAGTACTCAATTTCGACTTGAATGTATGACTTTTTATACTTGATTTCAAATTGAGTGAACAAGTTTTTCGGTCTATATATGGGGCAAATTTCCTTGGTTTTAAAAGACTAATGGCTTGACTATAGAATAAAAAAAATGTGGAATCATGGTAAGGTCTTGAAAATCTAGTGAGGATCCAAGAATCTCACCATATATCTTGCTTAAAAATAGGTCCTTCTTTGACTGGGGTTGTTTTTCGCTAGTAGGATCCGAAGTTCAAATCAAGATATAATGTGTTTTCTAAATCCTCGAGTTTTTTATTAAAAAATAACCAATAAAATACAAAAATACAGTAAATCTAAGAAGACATAGATTTCAAAGCTTATCATGGATTAATATATGGACACCATCAAATAATTTAAACTAACATATTAAATTGAAATCTACACCAAAATCATTTTAATTTATTAACAAAGTATTAACAATTAATCTTAATTTCAGAATGAAATTGAAACATTAATAACAAAATGACATATGGGGATGGATGGGTACAATAAGGCTAAAGGAGGAATCGTTGGCCATAGTCAGTCTCGAAGTAATGAGAGGGGAAAAGGTAGGCATTTGTTATTATTTTTTTACTTAATAGATATCTAACAATGATTATTTGAAGATATCTGAAAGAACATAATTTTGTGGTTTGAGCTAGGCATCATTTTCTATAGATGATAGTGTCATTTTGCAGTGATTATGTGTTGTCGTGTAATGTGTGCTGCCACACATGTGTGTGCGGCCGCACACATGTGTTTAGCTGCACACTCTTGTGCTGGTAGGAGGACTATTATTTATAGCAACTGAGTTGTGTCAGTTTTTACTGATTTGCTTGTGTCAGAACTCTGCAGTAGTTGTACTTTTCTCAAGATGTACTTGACATTTACTGAATATAGATGTATGCATGCTTGATTTTAGTTCTTCTTCTTCTATATCTCTCTTTTATTATAATCAACTTCATTGATTACTGAATTGGATCATTAAATTTGGGACTAACAATATCTAAAGTCCAAACTAATATTAGTGAAACATGGTGAATCTTAGGATATATTTTTTTCTCAAATCAAAATTTTAAATTCCAAATTGATGTATTTACTTTGGGTCCTTATAAGTTATGAAGAAATTTAAACTAGGTTTTACAGTGGTTGTTCACTCGCTCCATGTAATGTAGATTTCTATGTTAGTGTCCCATCTCTAATTTTGATAGACTCCTTTAAGCATGGTACCTTTTGTTTGAAAGTGCATTTGTTAGAATGTTTTATGTTGTGGTTATCAGAAAGCCACTATGGCATGAGTGTTTGGTGTCATTGATAAGTCTACATACATCTATTAGGATACATTTGTTATACCATAGGGAAATCCAGGTTATAGGTTCTTATCTGAAGGTGTTTTGGATTATGTATGATTTGATGTTGATTAAGACATTAATGATGGAATCAAATTTAACTTCATAACCAATATCTATAACTCTTGTATATGCAAAGCCACAACAATTAGAAAGAAAACATCTTAAAAGGAAAAGAAACAATATCATTATGACCATACATACCATGAAGCTCTAGCTAAGTTGAGATGGATATGTAAAGCTATAATGCTCTATGAGGTTTATCAAGATACACAATAGTTGATTTCGACTTGATTGTATGACTTTTTTATACTTAATTTCAAGTTGTATGAAAAAATTAGGCTATATATGGGATTTTAAGTAGCAAGAACAAATTTATTTGGGTTTAAATGACTAAAGACTTGACTATAAAATACAAAACTAAAATGGTAGAATTAGGATAAAATCTTGCAAATCTAATAAAGATCCAAAGATATCACTACATATGTTGCTTCAAAATGGTCCTAGTATGACCAATGTTGCTTTTTGCTTGTAGAATCTTAATATCAAATCAAGATCGGATGTCTTTTGTATCTCTCATGTTTTTATTAATTAAATAATTAATAAAATACAAATAAAAAAAATACAATACAACTAAGAAACATTGATTGCAAAGCATAATGTGGATTAATAAATGAATTCAATCAAATAATTAAAACTAACCAAACATATCAAATTGAAATCTATACCAATAACAAAAAGGGCATATATGGATAAACACCTAGAATGAGCCTAGATGAGGAATGATGTAACATGTGGTTATAGTTGGTCTTGGAGTAATGGGAGGGGAAAAGGTAGGTAGGGGAGACGAGGCGTTGAATATGCTATATGTGTAAGTATGAGCATCATCGCATGAGTTGCATGTGCGATAGAGAGGTAGGTTCTAGTGTTAGACGCCATATTTGCAAGAAGAAGAAAGGGATGAGTTAAAGGCTTTAGCGTCGTAGGTGAATTACGAAAGGGTTCTCGGCGTCGGTGTCAAATTACTAAAGGGACGTGTTGTTGTGTGGAATGAAACTGTTTGTGGGATGGTGGCGGAGGAAAGCATATAATGTGTTGTGAACGATCTGAGGTTGATTTGAGGTTGAGGGTGTTCAATTTATATGTAATTTTCAGAAATGGTCCTTAGGGTTTCTAGTCTTCATTAACTTTAGTACGAGGAAAAAAAATATCTAAATATTAGCCTTAACAAATTATTTTAATAGTGTTGGATAAAATAACCAAACATGATGATTTTTAAACAATAAGGATCATGAGTATTAATTTTTCGAAGCATGGACCAAACTTGTAGACGAGTGTAAACCGCAAGGACCAAAACCGTAATTCACTCTTAATTTTTTAAAATTTTGATTAAAGTTGACCTCTACTAATACACCAACAATCAATGCTGACAACTGGACGTTGACGGATCCTAGCTTTTACACCTCCATCCATAACTATTTGATTTCCCTTGATATCTTTAGATACTCATTTTCAATCCTATAAATACCTCTTAACGACCCAACTCCATTCACATCAACTATTCATACTTCCTATTCCTTTCTATAACAATGGCTTCCGGTGCTCCTATTCTCCTAAAGCTCCTATTTTTATTGTCCGTTTTCAACTTCTCATTAGCAACCAGGCGACTCACTGAGTTAGTCCACGACTCGTCTCCCCTCATGCAATACCACAATGGAGCCCTCCTAACCGGCGACATCTCCGTCAACCTTATTTGGTATGGCAACTTCAAACCTTCCCAGAAAGCCATCATCACCGATTTCATCACCTCCCTCTCCTCCACCTCACTCAAATCCCAGATCCAACCATCCGTCGCCACATGGTGGAAGACGACAGACAAATACTACTCAAAAACAAAGAAACCCTCCCTCCGACTCGGCAAACAAGTATCTGACCCGGATTGCTCACTCGGGAAATCCTTAACGGACACAAACCTTCTCCAGTTGGCTTCAAAGGGTGAAGCAACCAACGCGGTTAACATAGTGTTAACTGCAAATGACGTAGTAGTCGCCGGATTTTGCTCCGGTACGTGTGGTACCCATGGCCACTCCTCATCTACCATTGTGAAAGGTAAAAGCGACAAGTTTGCTTACATCTGGGTTGGCAACTCGGTGACTCAGTGTCCTGGTCAATGCGCGTGGCCATTCCATAAACCAATCTACGGACCACAGGGTGCACCACTGATCGCACCCAACAACGACGTGGGTGTGGATGGAATGGTGATAAATCTGGCTACTCTTTTGGCTGGAACTGCTACAAACCCATTTGGGAATGGGTATTATCAGGGGGATGCTGGTGCACCATTAGAAGCTGCATCTTCTTGTCCGGGGATATTCGGTAAAGGGGCGTATCCAGGGTACGCAGGGGATGTGTTGGTGGATCCGACGACTGGTGCAAGTTACAATGCTGATGGTGTAAATGGAAGGAAGTATTTGCTTCCAGCTTTATTTGATCCATCAACTTCTACATGCTCTACTTTGGTCTAATTGTAAACCCCAATAGAAGAAATTGGTATGTTGTAGAAAGTATTATATGAGGAATGCCTCAAAAACAATGTATTCCTTGATTCATATGAATTATTATTATGATTATTATTATTATATTAGAAAGGCATTAGTTATTTAAGTATTACTAATATCTTATGTTTATTGTGGTAATATATGCATGGATTATGTTGATAGTGGACTTGATAACTGGGTATTTGGAAAAGAACAAACTAATATTGGTATTTACTCATACAGGTTTTTATTTTAAAACTTTTTAATGCTTTGTATAAAATATACCTTCAGCAAACCCAAAGAAGGATATATTTTAAATGAGTAATTGAGATACTAATTAATATACGATTTTAATGATATAAAGTCGAAACACTTGATATAATATGGGTATTTAAGACCAAATATACGACATTCAATAGCCAAAAAGGCAAACACTTGATATCATATGAATATTTTTACGAACTTTTCTATAAAATAAACAAAAAATACAAAAAAAATCCACACAATTCCCTTCAAGGATCGAAAATCCACTTTTTTTTAATGGCAAGACAAGAAAAATATATAAACTAATACCAACGAGAAGTTGAAAAAATACAAGGAAAAAGAAAAAAAGCAACAAACAATGTAAGCATTACAGAACAGAAGGGGAAAAATGGACAATAGGGGAAAAACTCCTGAAATGAAAAGGGGATTCAAAGGGATCAACTGCATCAACTTCAAGATCTCGATCACACGGAATATATATGCAATCGCGTAGAAGCTAAAAGCCTTGAACTTACACCATAGTGTTGAAATCTAAAAAATGGGATTGTTTCTTGAACTTCAAAAAGTCTGTTTAGATAAAAATGTTTATTGATTTGTGGTAAAATGAGTTTTTAAAAAATTGTTTAGATTAATTTTTGTGGTGGAAATGACAATAAGTCAATAAGTTAAAATGTATTGGGTTTAAAATCTCCTTTTTAAAGTTATTATTTTGTGGGGTGTCATGATAATTTTACCATGGATATGTAGGTGTGGTATGTTTACGGACAGTAAACACCTCACCACTATCCTAATCTTTGTTAGAGCATCCACAAGGACTTGCAAAGACAATTGCAATGTTACTTCATCTCAAATTGATGTCACCTACTATTTGGTCTTTCAACTTTTGAAAACCTTGCAACTTTGATTTATATTACTTTTTTAATCAAATGACATTAACTAAATATTAAAACCAATTATATATATATATATAGGTTCAGGTTCATTTGAGATCATTCTAAATTTGTGAGACCGTGAGACCAAATCTAAAAATAATTTTAAAATGCAAAATAAATGGAAAAATCCAAAAATTCTTTTTTTAAATATTATTTTCGGAACTTGAATTAACTAAAAAAATATAAAAAATATAAAAAAAAATAAAAATAAAATAAAATAAATTCCGTTTTTTTTTTGAAAAATACGTGAAATATTCTAAATAGAATATTACACTGACATATTCTAAAAAATAATTTTAAAATGCAAAATAAATGGAAAATCTAAAAATTGTTTTTTTAAATATTATTTTCGGAACTTGAATTAACTAAAAAAATTAAAAAAAAATTCTATTTTTTTTAAAAATACGTGAAATATTCTAAATAGAATATTACATTGTACATATTCTAAAAATAATTTTAAAATGCAACACAAATGGAAAAATTAAAAAAAAAATTTAATATTATTTTTGGAACATGAATTAACTAAAAAAAATTAAAAAAATGCGTCTCACGGTCTCACAAAATATAGGTGGTTTCAAATGAACTTAACCCTATATATATATATATATATATATATATATATATATATATATATATATATATATATATATATATATATATATATATATATATATATATTTCTTAATTGCAAATGTATTTGAATTGTTATTACAAATTTATATTTTAATTTGTATTATGTTTTATATATAAACTAATTTACGAAATAACAATTAAGAATTTAAAGCCTAATGTATATTATTTTATTGTTAAACTAAGATATATATATATATATATATATATATATATATATATATATATATATATAAAGTAATTGTTGATGTGGTAGTGGGGGCCACTTTTGAAAGATGAGTGTTATTGCACTGATGTGGGTAGTTATTGCAAAACTGATGTGGCACAATTGAAAGATTAGTAGCATTGCACTGATATGGATGACCTTAGCGGCAATTTTCAACGGTGAGTTCTCATCGTCCAACTCAGCAGTCATTAAAACAATTTACCAAACGCATACCACTTCTTGTTACTCCAATGTATTTTTGGATTAGCTCATTGTACAACCAACTAATGCATAAATGTTTGACATCATGGCATGTGTGACTTTTACACAACAAATTCATGTGTATTTTTCTAATGCACATCATACAGCTCTTCAAGCATGAATTAGAAAAAAAGAGTTTGTAGGCAAAAATATCATCACACTCCACTTGTAGGTAAAACATGGAAAAAATGGTAAAAGCTTATGTGGTGCCTACGGAGCAACTTTTTACCATTGACAAAAATTACATCACACCCTTTAGCCTTATAGTTAAAAAACTAAAAATGGTTTTGAAAAGTCAGTGGAGATGCTTTTGGATATCTTTTGAAGTATATTTTTTAGAAAGTAATTTTAGGATTACCAAACACTTCTTTTTACTTATTGGTTTTTCAAAAACTTAATAAGTCAATAAGTTGTTTTGAAAAACAATCCCAAACACCCCCCAAGGTAACACCATAGTCAATCTAGCGAGCCATTAATTATTGTGCTTCAAGATAAGAGTTACCATATTCTTCAAAGAAGGAAGCATCAACATATTAGTAATCCAAAAACAAGCAATGAACCAACTCGAATAGAAAAGGCACAATTAGGAACCTTTGAAGCAACCATTGTTAGTAAATAAGGTTTAGGCCCAATCACCTTAGGATTTAGGGATTCTCTATATATTCCTATATAATTTTCTTTTGAATAATAAAGCTTGTAATTATGTATCATGATATTATAGTTCTAGGTTAAAACCTTACTGTTGACCACAACCCATAAGTGTCACCATCTACCTCCTACGGCCTTCTCTAATAGTTTTCGAATGCCTTCATTATGCTCAATATTTTTCCTTTTCTTCTTTCCCATCCTAAATAATAATACAGTCGCCAACACCAAACCAGACCCTCTTCCTTGGCTTCTGTTACTTCATTGTCTGTCGTTACCTCCTCCTCGGCAGGGCCAGTCTTGAGGATTCAAATGCTCAGGACAAGGTGGATCAAAAAGTCCCTTAGGCATTAATGTGGAACGAATTAAATTACATAAATTATTTTTTATTAAAATGACAATAAACTTTATAGCAATAAACATAGAAAAATCATAGTATTTTAATAAGTAATTACATATCGTAACAGCTAACTGACGATCCATGAAGCTCTCCTAGGATTCTTGATAGCAAATTGGTTGATCAACTCTTAGTAGACTATACTCTTTAAGATTTCGTTCTCGATAGATATCATCACCAAAACGCTAACTCATTATTGGGTCATTATAGAGCGTAAGTAAGATTTGACAAACTTCAATTTTGAAAAACTTCTTTCTGCAGATGCGACCATTACTGGAATAGTCAACAATATCCTATATGCAATGCTTGCATTTGGGAAATAATCGAGTTCTTTTAAAAACTTCAAACATCTATAAGGTTGCTAAATGTATTGGTTTCCAATTTCTCAAATAATTTCAACTCCGTATAAAGTTCTTCATCATCAATATCCGATCTTTCTTCAAACTTGAGTCCTTTTTCAAGACGATGACAATACGACTTAAGATCTTTATCTTTAATTCCCCTAAAATTATGTGGAAATAAAAAACCAAATACTTCGTTATACTCTTTTAATTGTTCAAATATTGTCTCAAGAGAAGAAATAGTTTGATCAATACTGTATAAGAAATAATTGACTCTGAAATTCTCTTTAGGTGTAAATGAAACTTCTTCGCTACTTGAATTCTCATCAAATCTTTTTTCCTTTCAATCAAATGCCTTTGTGGAAATATTGGATCAATACCCATTTCAATAACAATCTCCTTAACTTCAACAGTCTCTTTTCAAAAACCAGATTCTCTATAATCCTTGAAGTACCCAATTAATTTGTTTATTTTTGTAATAACGTTATCAAGATGAATATCCTTCGATTGTAACTTTTTACTCACAATATTCACATGGTTTAGTACTTCATACCAAATAACAGTTGATACCAAAAATTCAAATTCACCAAGTTCTTTTTCTACTAGTGAAGTTGTTTCACTTATAATTGCAACATCATTATCTTTTTCTCCAACTTGAAGTAAAGCTTCCAGTCAGTGTTGTAAAACTCGCCGAGTTAGACGATTACTCCTCCGAGTACTCGTTACTCCCCCCCCCCCCTGGCTGAGGCGAGTTACATAATCCCGAGTACTCCCCGATCGGCCCCTTACGAACTGAGTAGTGTTGTGAAATTCGGTCAACTCGGTGATTAATATGTATAATACACTTAATGATTTATTATTTGACACACACACATGTGATTATTATTACATATATATCTTAAATTTTCAGTAATTATTCACGAAGTGAGACCATTATGTGTTTTTCATTTTTTGTGTATTCACATGTATCCAATTTTGTTATATATTTAATCAACTTATGATTTTATCTTATGATTTTGACATATATAATTTCCCTAAAAATATTTCTACACAAATTTCCAAATACGAGTACTCCCCGAGTACTCGCTACTCGGTAGTCGGCCGAACAGGTACCGAGTAACGAGTTCTACAACCTTGCTTCCAGTACATCCACAGTTTGCAGTTTAACAGCATTTACACTCTTAACACGACTTTCCTAATGAGTTTGACACAATGACTTAAGACTCCAAGCTTTAACATTATCTTTCAAAATTTTCCACCTCTTAGTAGAATTTGCAAAGATAATATAAATACGTTGTATGAATCCAAAAAAT